ATTTGACTGTGTGAGAAATCAGGCCTTTTCAGGCTGTCGTGTGGGGATAGCAAACCTTTGGGTAAAGGAAATGCATGTGAAGTCTGTAAAGCCCATCTTAGTATTGCTTTACAAAATAAGTGGCCCTCTGTTATGAAGAGGGCCATTTGGTAGTAGTTTTCAGCACTGATCATGGACTCCTTGAAGGAGGATCTGTAGATGCCAAACTGTGTGAGAAATCAGGCCTTTTCAGGCTGTCGTGTGGGGATAGCAAACCTTTGGGTAAAGGAAATGCATGTGAAGTCTGTAAAGCCCATCTTAGTATTGCTTTACAAAATAAGTGGCCCTCTGTTATGAAGAGGGCCATTTGGTAGTAGTTTTCAGCACTGATCATGGACTCCTTGAAGGAGGATCTGTAGATGCCAAACTTGGTCACCTCTGCTGGCTGCAACTGCTGTTGCACAGAAAGCTGGTGCCTAGGACCCTGGGGGACTTGAAGCAAGGGAGTTGTGGCACACCACCACCAGAGGGGTGTGGCACCAGCTACAGGGCAAAGGAAGAGAGGCCACATGGAGAGCGAGGAAGGGTCAGGTATGCAGTCAGTTCCATAACTGTAGTGGCTATGTAAGTAGAAATACCATAGCAATAAAAAAACTTTACACTCCCAGCTGCATGGAATTGAGCTTCTGAACCTTCACTGTATATACTGCAGCTTTGGCTAAGAGGAGATTTATAGCAGCTGAAACTCAGTCCTGATAACAATTTTGTGTGGGTTGTTGCCTGACTGGGTATCACGCTTGTCAGTTTAATCTGCCTGGATATCCCTTTCAGACTGCTTCTTCCTGGCAATTTAATTCACAAAAAAAAGAAATAAGGCAGGAGTCCAGCGACATGTCCGAGCTTTTCAAACAGAGAAAATATTCAAAAGCATCTGAAATTTAACTTTGTCTGTGCTATTTTTGGAGAACACATCCTACTTCCAACCATCATGTTGAAAAGATATGGCTGTTTACAATCAGAACTGAGTTTCATGTTTGTTTTGTGAACTGAATTTTTTTGGTGTCTGAAAGATGTTGCTTGGTCAGAAGCTGACATTAAGTTCCCAGTATTCATAGGGTTCCCAAATTACATCCAGGTGTTTTTGTTACAGTTGAAATAATAGTGCTGTTCATTTATGCCACTGGCAAGTACACACATGCAATGTTTCTCTTTGTTATGCTAATCAGCTTTCATTATCCAGTAATGAGGTTAAATCTGAGTTTCCATTTTAAGAAATAAACAGCATATTTCTGCCATGCATACTTCAGAATATGATTTAGTACCTTTGCCCAATTTTTGCAATAATTTGTGCCTACTTTCTCTGAGGAGAGGAGGAATTTGGAAGTGTCCTAAGCCCCATGAGGAAAGCATATAAAAATAACAACAACAAAAAAGATGCTCCAAAACCTTTTCCACATCCAACACATTTCTATTCTGTATGCATTACCTTTTTGAACATTACAGCTGTCTTCCTGTTGTGTAGAGTTGCTTTAAAACAGTAAGTACTACCAGTCACATGCCTAACTGGCTGTGTGTTATAATAAGTTGAGTTCAAAATGCATGAGATCTACAACATGCTGTCGTAGGGCATCCCTTCCTTGTAACATTTTCTGTGATATTGCTGTTGAAACTTACAGAGGAGCTGATTGCACTGTGTGTGTTTGTGCGTATTGTGATGTTTGCCTCCTGATACAGTGAAGTTTTTTCTGCCTGGTCCTCACTAGATGACCCTAAAACAATAATCCATCTGCAGCTGGAAGTGTTAGGTTTTGATCAAGAAGTAAACCACAGAGGGCAGTGAGGGTCAGGAAGATGGTGTGAGTAGCTCCTTTCACTGTTTCTGTCAATATTCTGTCCTTTAATTTTTTGAAATTATAGATATGTAGAATCTGTAAGTGTAGTAAGTGTAGAATGAGGATGCTGACATCATTAGTATGCGCTTGGCTACAGATGTTGCACTGGTCTAAGAAATTACAGCTTTGCAAGATAAGTTGTATTGCTTTTCTTGGAATAATACAGTTTCTGAGAGAAAGTAACACATGCCATTTTCCCTTTTCATCACTTTGTACCGTAGTGTTTCAAGACAAAATCTTTGTGCCAGCATTGTATAAGTGGATACACTTTTAATTCATTGCTGCTTGCCAGTATTTCTGATGTGGATAGATGGGTGTTAGCTGTCTGGATTTGCACTCATATCACTGGTTAGAACAATTCCACATAAACTGAAGGTTTCAGGCAAGCTGAATTTTTGATGTTCTCACTTGTTTGTTATTGTAATTATGGGGGGTGACTGAAAGCCTATCTTTGTTACTGTTACTTGTTTAAATAGTATCATCTCTTGGGGAAGAAAGTTTCAAATGTTAAGATAAGCACTAATTATTGTAACAGGATTTAGAAGAGTGTGGATTTTGTTAAGGAGAAGCAAGAGAGTTTTAGGACTGTATTTGGCATAGGTAGAAACACCTTTACATGATACATATAACTTTGTAGACAAATCAGTACATCTTAATGCTTAGTGGATGCATGTTTATTCTCCCTGGGAAGTGTGAAACCTCTCTAAGTGCTACAACTATTTTGGTCCTTGTTAACCTTGCCTGGAGAGGTAATTATTGTGTATCTTGCAGCCCAATTTAATGGAAATGAGAAACGGCAAGCATCTCCTTCTCCCTCAAATGACCAGCACAGGCAGTTAAGAGCACCTGGAGGAGGCTTTAAACCCATCAAACATGGCAGTCCAGAATTTTGTGGGATCCTGGGAGAGAGAATAGATCCAACTATTCAACTGGAAAAGCAGATGTAAGTAAGCACAGTAATTGCTCTCTAGCTCTTTATCTCCCTGCTTACAGGAGCAGCAAGTGTCCCAGATCCTGCTGCCCAGCTCCCCCTCCTCAGCATCCCTTGTGTTAGCGCTCACAAAAAATTTCTCTTATTAATCCTGCAAAGTGTAAGTAACTTTTGTGGGGGACAAAATAGAGTTAAACAGGAAATTCATTTCAGGAACAGTGAATTTTATCTGCCAAGTATGTGCAGTTTTTCAACTTTCAAGCATGTTGATTACATTGCATTAGGGAAAACAGGTGTATATCACATATATACAAATTGTGCTTTAAAGCTGCAAAAATTCCATATCTTTGTGGCTGCATAACATGTTTCTAGTACCTCAGACATGCCTTGCATCTGGCTGTAATACTGCTCCAGGGAAAGACTGATAAGACCACTTACAAAGCTTTCAGAAGAGAGACTGTTATTTCTACTCTGGTGGTGTCAAACTTGAGGATGGTATTTAAAGGCAGTTTTGTCAGCTCCAAACTCAAGTTCTGCAGGAATTCCCTGGAGTGAATGTCTGGTATCCACAAGGGAGGCTTCTACCCTGCCTCATTGTTACCGTTCCTTGAACCATTTGGACAGACTGGCTTGTGTGATGGAATGAGCCACTGTCCTGTATCATACCAAAGGTGCAGCCTCATAGAAGGGGCCAGAATCCCCTGTTACAGAAAGAAAGAAAAATCTTCTTGTGGAGCAAGATGTTTACACAGGTTACACTGATACTTGTGAGCACTGAGAAGTCCAATGGATTCACACAGTAAAGTGAGGAAGCTGTGTCTTGAACCCCTGAAGGCAGTCTCACCCCAGACACTGTCATTCTAAGTTAGGTGCAGAATTTATTTTCACAGGAGAGGAAGGGCATAGTTTAGCATGGATGTGAGTGTGCTTTTTGTGAGAATACTTTGTTCCTGAATGGTGGTGGTATTGGGAGGATTAGCAATCATTTTGCACTTTGGATCCTCAGTAGGAGAGAATCCCCTCTGTCAATTGTGTCTGAGAGAAGGTAGTTCCAGAAATTCCTTTTCCTTTGACATTCTATATTTACATGCAATATTTGGAAACTTAAGCTTGAAACAGAGAATAATATCATCTGCATGGTGTCATATTCCATGTAATCAACCTCAGCCTTTGAACCATCTGCTCATTGACAGATTGTAGACTTATCTCCAACAGAGGAAGTAGCAACCACTATTGTGAAATCACTCACTGATACTGTTAGGTAAATGACTAAAAGGCTATAATGCGACTGTAAAATTTGGTCCTCAGACTTGGCTGGTTCCAGCCCACCATATCCCCCAAAAATACTGCAGGAAGTTGAGCATCTGTTAATTAAATTTTGACTCATAAATATATTGTTGTGTAGTTCTCTCTTTTAGCATAACTGCAGTTATATGTAAATTCAATTGATAATAACAATTGAAAACTGCAGAGCTAGTTTTGCTTCCTTTAATTATTCAAGTGTTAATCACATGAGATTCTTTTTGATTCTTCATTATGCAGTATCAAACCTGAAATGAATGCACAGTTAACAATAATGTGTCAGAAAATGGAAAAGTTCAGATTTATTGTACCTTAGATTATTCATAATCATTCAAACTGCTCAAGTTTTAGTAGCGTGGGGCCTCTCCACAGCACATGACAAGCCATTCCATCTTTCTGTAAAAAAATGGAGTCTGTCTTTGTAGAGAGGAGTACAAGATCTAGAGGAAAGGAAGCATGCAAATTGACAAGTGGAGTTCTAATAGGTAGGTTAGGAAGTTTCCCAAACAGGCAGAAATACCAAGGTGTGATAATATATGAAGAAAATACTTCTAGTTGCTTGTCATTAAGGAATCTGTAACTATGAACTTAGTAGCTCATGGACCCAGGGGAATGTAATGAATTTGTTCCATTTCCTCAATAACAGTGTAACGGAGAAAGTGTGTTCTGCTGTTTCTGTTGTCTTATTGAAAGTGAATCCCTCCCAGCCTTATATACAAGATCTGGTGACTTTCTGTTTTGCTCCAGCCAATTCAGAAACAGAGAAATGTTGTGCATTATATGAGCTGTAAAAACTGATTATACTTACTGTATAATTGATGCAGCTGTCCTGTCTTCAGTGGAGCTGTGGCCACTTAGTGCCTGAAACCTGACCATTGAGAAAGTAAGGGACATCAGGAAGAACATTCTATAAACCACAATCAGGATGCTTTCAGTCCTGGGAGGAGATCCTGATAAAGGTCAAAGTGTGTGATTATGTTTGAATTTTGCTTTCAGGTTTGCATTGTGTGCCTGTGTTTTCCAGGATAACCTAGAAGACATGCATGTCTTCAGGTTTTTATGTCCCATGCATTGGTACCTTTTGCAAGTTGTCATTTCACTATTTTGTGATCACATCATTGACATCTGAATCTTTGACCTTTCTGCACAAATACCTATATGCTGACATTTAAAAAATAGACACACCCAGGGCCAATAGCCCCAATAGATTTGAAACAGTAAATTAGGAACTTTAAGCTGATTATACCACTATGCTTATCTCTCTAGCTAGCTGGAACAGGAGCAACCTTGAGTGTCCCATTTACATGAGCGTATGATTCACAAGCAATTACACTTCTGGATATTGCTTTTTACTCTCAGCTGTAGCCAAAACAGCTTCCAGGTGTCACTTCTGAATCAAATGTTCTCCCATCAGCAGTTGCCTTCATACTTCGCTGTTTTTCTTCAACCTGTTTTAAAAGCAGGTTTTGCTTCCTGGAACCAGCCCTGTATTCTTTTTCCATGAACTTCTCTGCCAACTGGGGAACACCGGATCTGAAGAATATATGAAATACTTCCCTCTGAATATGAGAGTCCAGGGTGTCTCCCTGGTTTTGGCTAGTTCATATTTTATTTTGGTTTTATTTGGCCCTTTGGGGAGAAAAGAAAGAAAAATTATTTATAGCTAATAAGAATAATTTTTAGACTCTCTGTAGTCCATTTTCTGATTTACACTTAGTGTTAATATTCTTCCCTTACGCTCAGAAGACCACGTAGTCTTTAAATTGCTTGTTGAGAAATTTCCTTCAGCAGTAAATATCTAATGGGAGGTAGGGAGAACACTGCCTGAAAACATTTGCATCTGTGCCTCAGTTTTATTTGTGAAGTGATGGAGCTGTCAGGGCCTCCCTTTCTAGTCTGTCTTGAATATACAATAGTATAACCCTCTTTTTCGCGTTCTCTAATGCAAACTTCGGTTATAACCAGGCACACAATGAATTTTTAATTGAGCACTAACTTTTGGTTAGCACATTCATCAGATTTGACAATGGAGCTGACATCAGCACAAGGTAGTTGAGAGCATGACTTCTGTCAAAGTGATCTCTCTGGTCTTTATTCACTTACCTTTTAGTTGGAATATCTCCCTCAAAGTTCAGCAGAGAAATAAAATTAGCACAAGTGGAAGAAAACTTTTTTGCACAAGGCCAATGACAGTTCCTGGTAATAACAGACAGAGAGCACTTCTGATGTATGCATTATCCTGCTTAGGCAGGCATGGTCGTGTCACATCGTGCTTCAAAGTGCATCTGGCAATTACAGGAAGGGAGAGATCTTCGTCAGAGATGCGATTGACCCAGTGCAGGGCCAGGCACGTTACATTGCTCGGGAAACTTAGGGGAAGGGTCAAAGCGTTTACTACTGGACTGTGAGATTTTAATTGCTGATACAGAGCAGCATGTGCTGAGGAGGTTCTTTGTTTGCAGTGGTCAGTTTAGTGAAGGACCCACCTCTCCTTTCCCTATTTCCTTTCTTTCCTGAATTGATCACACCCACTCCACAGATCCACCAGAGATTTACTTAAAGTGCTCTGAGTTGTCACAGCTGTGTTTAGAACAAGTGTATTTGTTATAAATCTTCACACTTTATCACTTTTTTCCTTTCTCAAAGAGTTATTTTAGCAAATCTTTTCCACTATTAACTGTTCGTGTTCTTCAGATGTGATTTTCTTTTTGTTTGCTTTTGTTTGTTTTCTTTTTGTTCTTTTGTGTATTAGTTGAAATACTGATATATCACAGGGATGAAATAGAGTAGATGTGTATATTGTGGATCTACTGCTTGCAAGACAGAGATTATAATGTGTTCCTCTGAGTGGAAATTTCTTACATAAATATGTACACCAATCCTGTCGCATGCTGTCCTCTGATCTATGTTTTTTTCCAGCTGACAGGAACTACAGGCCTCCACAAGTTGTAAAGTTAACTTCAGATAATGCAAGCAATGTGCTTTTTATCCATAATATGTTAGATCTTAAAGATATCCATGTGATATTAACCGTTATTCATTACCTAAAGAAATAAAATAGTGAAAGGAATATGAGTTGGAATGTGTGTGTATATTAATCTCTCTGCTTTTTCCTAGATGGTATCATGGAGCAATCAGTCGGACAGATGCAGAAAACCTGTTACGCTTATGTAAAGAGTGTAGCTACCTTGTAAGAAATAGTCAGACAAGCAAGCATGACTATTCTCTTTCACTGAAGTAAGTACTTCTCAGTAAAACATAATAAATGTAATTTATAAGCCATAACTTCTCTGGTGCAAGAAGATAAAATGATCCAGTCTGTTGTTGCAGTGGTTCAGCTCAGAAGGGCACCCAGAGAGTTTGAGACTGTCAGTCTGCATGATGAATAGGGACAATCACTAAATTAGACCTTGCAATTTGGGGACGTTGAGAGATTTTTCGTCTTCATTTGGTGCCCATTTAAATAAATAAACTTGGATTTTTTTTTTGTCGTTCTGATTTGAAATGCTTCTGCTGCTTCTGCTTCAGGCTGAATAAGCAACTGTATTGTTTGGGGATTTTATTCCTTTTGGTTCATACATGGAAGGAAGGCTCCGTGTGGTTTACTGTGGTAGAGCTGTACAAGATTGCTACAATTCTTGAAAGTAAAAAGCCCAGGATCAAGGATGAAAGATCTACAGAATTAGGAAATGAGCATTGTTCCAGTCTTCGTGCTGCTTTGAACTTGCCTCACCTACCTTAGACTGATCAGGGTATGTTACAGATGTTGGCTTCAACATATGATAGAACAGAATCATAGAATGATTTGCGTTGGAAGGAACCTTCAAAGATCATCTAGTCCACCCCCCCTGCCACAAGAAGGGACATAAGCTCACTTGCATTTCCAGCAGAGGAAAAGTTTCCAGGTTTTCTGTGCAGAACAAGAAGCCCCTTGACCTTGGTATAGGCCGTAGAAGTGCAAAGACAATTGTTTCCTTTCTTTCCTTCTTACAGGATAGGGTCTGATGTGGAACCTACCCTTCCATGTAGGTCTGGGACACAGGTCTACTTGCCTTTTTTACTAGCATTACTCCTGACAGTTTGGCTTTTACATGGTTTCTTCATAGGTCTGTTCTGGAGCCATTTCAGCAAAGCCACCGAGGCGAAGGGCTCCGGAGCGGAGGATCGCGCCGGGGGACCCTTTCTGAAGTGGCAAAACCTGCGAAGGCAAAAGCGCAGGGAGTGAGAGGGTGCCCCAGCCCGCCCCCCCTTCCCTGGTCCGGAGGAGGGAGCTCCTGACGAGCGGCAGCTCTGACTCAGCGTGGGCGGGGACAAGAGGGACGGCGGCCAAACCTCCTCACGTAGAAGAGCAGCCCCCACGGAGCGCGAGT